ACATTAGACGTTATTCGATAGAATCGCTCGAAGAGCGCTTGCCTTGAGGCCTTGTGCACGTTCGGCATTGTACGAGACAATCGTTCGGAAAACACTTGCCTGGAGGTCTTGCGCACGTTAGACGTCATTCGATAGAATCGCTCGAAGAGCGCTTGCCTTGAAGCCTTGTGCACGTTCGGCATTGTACGAGACAACCGTTCGGAAAACACTTGCCTGGAGGTCTTGCGCACGTTAGACGTCATTCGATAGAATCGCTCGAACAGCCCTTGCCTTGAGGCCTTGTGCACGTTCGGCATTGTACGAGACAACCGTTCGGAAAACACTTGCCTGGAGGTCTTGCGCACATTAGACGTTATTCGATAGAATCGCTCGAAGAGCGCTTGCCTTGAGGCCTTGTGCACGTTCGGCATTGTACGAGACAACCGTTCGGAAAACACTTGCCTGGAGGTCTTGCGCACGTTAGATGTTATTCGATAGAATCACTCGTTGAAAGCTGGCCTAGAGGTCTTGCGCACGTTCGGCATTGTGCGAGACAACCGTTCGGAAAACACTTGCCTAGAGGTCTTGCGCAAGTTAGATGTTATTCGATAGAATCACTCGTTGAAAGCTGGCCTAGAGGTCTTGCGCACGTTAGACCTTATTCGATTGAATCGCTGGAAGAGCGCTTGCCTAGAGGACTTGTGCACGTTCGGCATTGTACGAGACAACCGTTCGGAAAACACTTGCCTGGAGGTCTTGCGCACGTTAGACGTTATTCGATAGAATCACTCGTTTAACCCTTGCCTGGAGGTCTTGCGCACGTTAGACGTTATTCGATAGAATCACTCGTTTAACCCTTGCCTGGAGGTCTTGCGCAAGTTAAACGTGATTCGATGGAATCGCTCGAAGAGCGCTTGCCTAGAGGACTTGTGCACGTTCGGCATTGTACGAGGCAACCGTTCGGAAAACACTTGCCTGGAGGTCTTGCGCACGTTAGACGTTATTCGATAGAATCACTCGTTTAACCCTTGCCTGGAGGTCTTGCGCAAGTTAAACGTAATTCGATGGAATCGCTCGAAGAGCGCTTGCCTAGAGGACTTGTGCACGTTCTGCATTGTACGAGACAACCGTTCGGAAAACACTTGCCTGGAGGTCTTGCGCACGTTAGACGTTATTCGATAGAATCACTCGTTTAACCCTTGCCTAGAGGTCTTGCGCACGTTAGACGTTATTCGATAGAATCACTCGTTGAAAGCTGGCCTAGAGGTCTTGCGCACGTTAGACGTCATACGATAGAATCGTTCGGAAAACACTTGTATGGAGGTCTTGCGCACGAAAGACGTTATTCGAGAATATCGCTCGTTTAACGCTTTCCTTGAGGGCTTGCGCACGTTAGACCTTATTCGATTGAATCGCTGGAAGAGCGCTTGCCTAGAGGTTTTGCGCACGTTCGGCATTGTGCGAGACAACCGTTCGGAAAACACTTGCCTGGATTCTTGCGTACATTAGACGTTATTCGATAGAATCGCTCGAAGAGCGCTTGCCTTGAGGCCTTGTGCACGTTCGGCATTGTACGAGACAACCGTTCGGAAAACACTTGCCTGGAGGTCTTGCGCACGTTAGACGTCATTCGATAGAATCGCTCGAACAGCCCTTGCCTAGAGGTCTTGCGCACGTTCGGCATTGTACGAGACAACCGTTCGGAAAACATTTGCCTGGATTCTTGCGCACATTAGACGTTATTCGATAGAATCGCTCGAAGAGCGCTTGCCTTGAGGTCTTGTGCACGTTCGGCATTGTACGAGACAACCGTTCGGAAAACACTTGCCTGGATTCTTGGGCACATTAGACGTTGTTCGATAGAATCACTCGTTTAACCATTGCCTACAGGTCTTGCGCAGGTTTGACGTTATTCGATAGAATCGCTCGAAGAGCGCTTGCCTTGAGGTCTTGTGCACGTTCGGCATTGTACGAGACAACCGTTCGGAAAACACTTGTATGGAGGTCTCGCGCACGTTAGACGTTATTGGATAGAATCGCTGGTTTAAAGCTTGCCTAGAGGTCTTGCGAACGTAAGACGTTGTTCGAGAGAATCTCTCGTTTAACGCTTCCCTAGAGGTGCTGCGCCCGTAAGACGTTATTCGATAGAATCGCTCGAAGAGCGCTTGCTAGAGGTCTTGCGCACGTTAGACGTTGTTCGAGAGAATCTCCCGTTTAACGCTTGCCTAGAGGTCATGCGCACGTTCGTCGTTGTACGTGACAACCGTTTGGAAAACACTTGCCTGGAGGACTTGAACATGTAAGACGTTGTACGAGACAACCGTTCGGAAAACGCTTGCCTGGAGGTCTTGCGCACGAAAGACGTTATTCGAGAAAATCGCTCGTTTAACCCTTGCCTAGAGATCTTGCGCACGTTAGACCTTATTCGATTGATATAGTATAGTGGCGGCTGCGTTGGGTGCACTTGCGTGGTAGTGACCGTTGAGCCGCTCACTACTTAGTAGTAGTTCAGTGGTGAGAATATTAGGTTGTAGTAAATATTAGATAGCGTACGGACTATCTGCTAGTTGTTGTCTCTGCTTGACTCTCGAAAGTGGATCTGTTTTGTGATCCTTATTATTTGATGGTTCTGCAATATAGGTATTTACCCTTTGACGTCTGAGACGCTGTGAATTTGAGAGTCAAGAAATAGGTATTGTAGTTTTAGGGTACTACAATTGATCTGTAGGCTATGATTGCCCAATGAACCAACGACTAGGGTTCCACGTGAGAGTTTGGCGGTTGACTTGCTCCTTTGAGTGCAGCTCCACACAGTGTTGATCTGCTAGCTTGGACGNGATAGAATCGCTCGAAGAGTGCTGGCCTAGAGGTCTTGCGCACATTAGACGTCGTGCGAGA